AGAGCAACCCCCCGTGTGGGAGCCGGGACGCAGGCAGGCAGGGGCCCAGCAGTACGTGTCGGTCCGGTGGCGCCGCGGAGAGGGGCGGGGGCTGCCCCCGCCTTCCAGCTCCTCAACTTCAGGGGACTCCCGTCCCAACTAGAGATGAAGCCGGGGCTGCCGAGCTCCCTCCGCGGGCAGGGCCGGGACCTGCCTTTACTCCGAATGCCCTTTCCGCCTCTCACGTTGAAGCGACTGAGCAAGGGAGTCAAGCGAGCAGTAAATACACGGTCCTGGGTCACACACTCGGCGGGGGGAGGGAGCCTTTCACACTGGGGTACGGTCACAGTGACAGAAAGGCTGGAACTAGGGGCGCGGGGGTTGCTGGCCTCCGCGGGCAGGGCCGGGACCTGCCTTTACTCCGAATGCCCTTTCCGCCTCTCACGTTGAAGCGACTGAGCAAGGGAGTCAAGCGAGCAGTAAATACACGGTCCTGGGTCACACACTCGGCGGGGGGAGGGAGCCTTTCACACTGGGGTACGGTCACAGTGACAGAAAGGCTGGAACTAGGGGCGCGGGGGTTGCTGGCCTGAAGTGGTTTCCATTTCTATCCAGGTTTTACAATTTGCTTCCATGGCTCTCAGCACCCCGACTAGACAGGTTGCCCAGCCCCTCTGCTCAGCGGCGCAAATGGTTCATATTGTTAAATGGCGGGGTCCTTGAAAAAGAGAGAACCGGCATCTATATTAAAAGGAGATTCCCCCCCCCCCGTGCTTTCCAGGGAGGAAGACATCGATGTGAACGTGCAGTGGAAGGAAAGGGGGTTGCGGGGCTGTTACTTCCTTCTGATCCTGCGGGAAGAGAGGCGAGTTCTCCCTGCTCCCCAGCCTTCATCCCGCAGGCTCCCGGGCGTGATCGCCTGCAAGCAGCTCAGGTCCAGGTGATTTCCCAGCTGTTGCCGATAGAAATGACTCCTTCCGACCAACCTGCCACGGGGTCCCGCGCTCGCTCGGCTCTTGCAGCCGCCAAAGCACCGCGCGCGCCACAACTCTGCAGCCTCCCCTTGGCCCCTCGCAGGAGTCGGGAAATGCCGTGGACACAGCACCCGTGTCCATAACAACAGCCAGGAGCCGCTCGCCCGCAGGCTCCGATCGCGCTAGTCGCCCTGCACCGCCGTGCGCCCGCTCTCCGGGCCCCTCACCTTCTCTGCCTCCGGCCCCTCTGCCCCTCCGCAGGGGCGGCGTGAATGCGCCCTGCCTCTTCGCTCTCCCTCCCGACTGCCTTGCTCTGCCGCTGGGCTCTTCCCTGGGAATCCGGGATAATGCCACCACCTCCGCCCATCTCCCCGCAGCCGGGACCAGGAAGGAGGAGGTAACACGCAGGCGCAGCGCTAGGCGGGGCAGCCTCAGGTGACAATGCTATCCTAGCCTCCAAGCTCATCGCAAAGGGCAACAGAGCCGGGTGCCTTCTCATTTGCTCTCCATTCCCTGGGCAACTTCGGCCTCCCACTGAACTCCGTGGCAACACGCTCCTTTGAACTGAATAGTAGTACAGCATCATGCCCAGGCTGTGCAGGAGCCGCTGTACTTCCATCCTAGGAACTATTGCTTTGGATAGAAGGACAGGAAGGAATAATGACGGAAAGGTTGTGACTGGGCTAAATCCATGTCATGCATAGGAAAAGGATGCTACTCACACACCACAGGCCTCCATCCTGCACACACCTAAGTACTTGCTTAACTTCGGGCATCGGAACAGTTCCTCTGTTTGCGGTGGGACTGCTCAGGTACCTAATTAAACAAGTGTGTAAATGTGTGCTGGATGCCATGATCAGTCAATTAAAACTATTTGCAGAATGAAGAGGTGAGACCCTTTGGTTCCATTCAGAAAGGACAGTCCCTGGGGTTGCACTCATGTGCTTGGGGAGCGTTATGAAATGTCTGTCATTTTGCCACTGGCCTTTGAAAACTTCTGGATGTCTGCTGATTCCTGCAGCGTTAACAGATATCTTCTTGTTTTTCTTCATAAATGTTCCTCTTTACAAAATTCAAACAACTGCAGAAATAACCGGCTGAAGGGGATGGTGATTTGAAAAAACTGGTATGACAAAAAGATCACCCAATGTTTTAAACATTTTAAATTCAGTTTTATAAGGTATTTTAGAAACATTTACATTTTCCAATAAATGGTCATGAAAACTGTATATCATTCATTTGAGGCAAGTAATACAAAGTATTACAAACAATTGGAAATAAATGGGTTGTGGCTTTGGCTATCTAATTGGTGATTTTGGATAATGATATAGAGCTTAATACTACAATAATAGTATTCTCAGCTTTATAGAGAAATGCCATAATCCCTTGAAGTCATTGGCATGATGCATAATGTATACAATTAAAATACTTGCATTTTGGGGGCATTTCTCTGCATAAATTCATTGGTGGCAGCATATGACAGGGTCACAAGTATTGCCCTAAGTGCAATACTGTCTGCTGGTCAATCCACCTTGCCCCTGTCGGAGCGCTTTAAGCATTAAACAGTCAACTATAGTTACAATAATCTGCAGAGAGGAAGGGCAATTGGGAATAAATTGGCAGAAGGGGACAGACATAAATGCTGCCTCCTCCCACACAGCAGGACAGTTGCTTGCAGGCATTGAAGGGAATAACAAGTTTCCTGCAGGACCCTGAGTTAGCAGGGAATAGATAATATCAGATGGAGACCTCGAAACCCTTTGACTAAGTGGTGCCTTCTGAAAGAAACAAATTGCAGTCCAGCCCCAAGAGGTGAGCAGGGGGCTCCTGCTATAAGGAGGAGACTGACAGGTAGTCAAGTAATAATTACATGAAGTACCCAGCTTGCCCAAGAGGACTAGGGACTCCCACCATAAGGAGAGAGAGATGACTTCTGAAGTAAAAAGGCAGGCTTCAAAGGAACTTCCAGAGCCTGAGCTATCTTTTATTTATTTGGGACTCTTTGTTCTGCCCCCCTTCTATCACATTTTGTAATAAAAGCCCTAAAGAGAGTATTATTGGGTCAAGTGTCATGAGTGCCTGAAGTGAAATTACTGGCTTCCTGAGAAGGGAAACTAAGGCAAGGAGCACATGCAATGCCGCATTAACTCAGCAGAGGGTGCTACAGGGCAGGCTTGCCCTATCACAAAGTCATTTCCTATTTGATCACAGGACTCACTTATCACACTTTATCAGGAAAAAGTGTGTCATAGGAGAAAATAATCTGTGCAGAAGGGCTAATCTTTTGTTAAATGCTATTGCCAACATTGATGTCATTTGTAACTATTTATACAGAAACAAGGTAAAAACCTTTTCTAAATAAACTCAACATAGCCAGTAAAAAGCAGTATGTTTCTGGAGAGGAAGCCTTTACAGACTCCATTCTTGCTCCCAGACAAGCATTTAGTCTTTCCAATCCCATCTCAGTACCTCCTCCCCACTGAGTCAACACCCAGGAACCCAGTCAAAAACTGCATAGGCAAAGTCATCTAAATAAACGCTCAGGCAGTTATTAGAAGCAGACTAAGATCAATCCATTTCTATTTGAGCTAGGAGGTGCTTTCTAAGACAGAAGGAACTTTCACAATTCCAACCTTTAAAAATGCTCTACGGGTCTGTCTGCAATGGGAAATTTACTGGAGCAAAACAGGTGTACATATACACCCTAGTATTCCAGCATAAGAATGTCCGTATGGATTATAAGTGTCCATACAGAGAGTCATACTGGTACAGTTAAACCCTAAAGTCCTCATGATTGTAAAAGGACGTAAGTACAATTTAAAATACCCTACCACTTGTCTGGGTTTGTCTGCTACAAGACACATCTAATATTACTATCGTTCTTCCCTACTTGTCTCATTTGAAAGTTGAAAAAAGAGGTTCTGCACCTTTTATAACCATTACAATATGCTGACTAAAAGAAAGTTATTATCATATATATAGTAGCCCAGTGTCTGAGAGTCTGTAACGCCGAAATGCTGGCTGTTCCCTCTGGGGGCGCGGTTGCCTGAAATGCTGGCTGTTCCGTTTGGGCAGTGCTGTTGCTGAAATGCTGGCTGTTCCCTCTGGGCAGCCTGTGTTGCATGGGGAGTGCGGGGCCCAAACAGCCGCTTCCGCCACCTGCTCCCCTGAGGTGGCCCGGCTGGGCAGGGCAGTGACATGCGGCATGACAGCGGCTCCAGGCCCTGCCCCCTAGCCATGAATGTCACCGCCCCGCCCCCCTTTGCCTCCCGCCGTGGAGCTTGGCTGACTTCTGCGCCGCTCAGCCAGGCCGCCACGTGGGAGCAAGCAGCGCAAGCGACCATTTGGGCTCCACGCTCCACATGCAGCACGGGCTGTTTGGGCTCCACGGTCCCCCAAGTGAGAGGCAGGAGGGGGAGGAGAAGAGAAAGAGGGAGGAAGGAGGCGAAAGAGAGCTGAGAGAGAGAGAAGGGGAAGCAGGAGAAGGAAGAGGAGGAGAGAGAGATGGAGCAAGAGACCGGAGGCTCAGGAGAGAAGACCGACGTGGAGGAGAGACCTGAAAATCCCGTCTTATGACGGGCTAATTGGCTAGTTTTTAAATATTGTCTGTTGAAAACAAATTTACAAATTAAGATTCCGGCCTGCAAACACATATGTTCAGGAATAACTTTTTGTTCACATCTGTATCCTACTGAGTAAAACTGGTACTGTGGCTCATTGTACAGACAAAGAAAAAGACAGTCTCTGCCCCAAAGAGATTACTATCTGAATACATAAGTCAAAGCATAGAGAGGGAAATGATGCAATAAACAATTTCTTGTTTAAAATTGGCTCTGTGCCAATTTATACCTAGTTTATACTTGGCCTCTGTGAGTGGGAGTGCTTTAGTACTGAGCTCAATGAGTATACCAATGTTTGCGAAGCTACTCAAGAGCATTAGGCTATGTCTACACTACAAAGTTTTTGCACAAAAACAGCCATTTTTGCTCAAAAACTGGTGGAGCATCCACACCTCAAGTGCATTTTTGTGGAAAAAAAATACAGTAAATCAACAGAATAGAGGGCTTTTTCCAGTAGAGTTATTCCTCTCCTCACAAGGCATAACTCCTTTTTGTGCTATAGCTCTTGTGTAAAAAAGCATGTGTGGACGCTCCACAGGGGTTTCTTGTGCAAAAAGAGCCTATCCAAAAAAGCACAGGTGCTCTGATGGCCATTCTGTGAATGGCCATCAGAGCTTTCTTGTGCAAGAGCGTCCATGCAGTGTGGACGCTCTCTTGCGCAAAAGCACATTGCTTTTGCGATGTGCTTCTGAGGTGTGAACGTGCTTTTGCGCAAGAAGTTATTGCGGAAGATCTCTTCCTCAAAAAGCTTCTTATGCAGAAACCTTGAAGTGTAGACAAAACCTTACTGTTTGCAGGATTGGGACCTAACACACAAGCCAGTGGGCACATTTTCTGCTGGCATAAATACATGTAGCTCCACTGCTTACAGTAGAATTGTACTTATTTACCCCATTAGGGGATTTGGGCCAGTGTTTTCTGAAGAGCCTTTTCTCTTTCTTGGTAAGAAATATTTTTAGAAATTTGGAAGTACTGATTAGTTCTAGAGATTTTTTTTCAGCTAGCAATTGGGATGGGGGGAGAGCAGAAATTTGCATTCTTACTCTAGGAAGTTTAGTTTAAATAAAATAATAGTATCCTTAAAGAAAGGAGTTCTTTGATGATTTAAATGTAATATTTTTATTGTTAAAATTATACTAGTTGCCTGCTTGGGTTCTTGAAAATGCAAATAGCAAATTAGTATGAATCCATCTGATGAAAACCTTAACTAAATAAATCAGATAAACTATTTTATTTTTCATTCTCAAGTAGCCAAGATAGCAAGTAATCTGTTAGTAATTTTAAAATTTGGAAGTACTGATTGGTTCTTGAGATTTTAAAATCTGAAACATTATGAAATATGTATGGACCATCCATTCAAAAACAAGATGTTCTAATTATAATGATAGTAAAATGTTACATCATTTCTAGCTCTTATTGGTGATTTACCAATGTTTTTGTTTTCCAAAGATTTTCTTCTGACAGATAATTAGATATAATTAATTTACAGTCTTAGCAATTGTGTTTCTAAAACTCCAGGTGCATTTTAACATGAAAAACTGTGAATATGAGAAATTATTTACTAGAGGTGGGATCTATGAAGGGGCTTAAGGGATTCAACACTGAGTCTTGTCGAACCTAACTTTTAGACACCTAGAAAATCACAGGAACAACACTAAAATCCAATAAACCATGTTGGGCTTTTTGACTTCTTATACAATGAATAGAGAAAGACAGGCACATAAGAATGTAATCCATGAAAGGCACACAGTGGTTAGGGAGCCACCTAAGCTAGCCAATGCAAGATGATGTGGGCAAAGTCTTGGAAGCAGGCACCTATCTCTGCTTAGCCATCCATGAATAGAAACCAGCTGCCTGGAGGCATGTAAGTAATTTCTTGCAGAAATGACTAATGAGCTTGCATTGCTTCACAGATAGTGGTAAGAGGAGGAGGAGATGGTAGCAGCAGCCAGCTTATAATATAGCCTTGTGATTAGTGTACTCAACTGTGATGCAGGAGACCTAGGCTCACTTCACCTCTCTATCTTCTCAGGGCTTCCCTTGGCTGGAAATGGCAAACTGGAGCTAATGGGAGCCACAAGACTCCATGGCTACAGACCCTTTAGGATGGTAAACAAAGCGGCAGAGTTGCCAGTGGCTCTCTCAAAGCGGGCCCACTTTGAGAAACACCAGGCTAACACATCAAAGAAAGAGACCTGGGGGAGGGAATGGCCACCTGAGCAAGCTTCACTGCCCTAGCTACCACCCCCACCATCTCCTTGAACCCTGGGCCTTCATCATCCTGAGAAATGCCCTAACCAGACTGGAACGGAGAGGTGTACCCAGCTGACATTGCCACTTCTCCAGCTGAAACCCAAACTCCATTAGGGGTTAATTGTGATGAGTTTCAGCAAGAACAGCAGCAGCAGCTGCTCCAGCCCATTTCAGTTAATTTCTTTTCTTTCTCCCCAAAAAGGGCATTGCCAGCTTTGATACCATCTAAAGGACTGTCACCCAAGAAGAGGGGGATACAGTTCCTTGTAAAAACTCTCTCCAGCAAAAGAGAAATAAGGGATGTTGTTGAAATGAAAGCCTTACTTAATGTTTTCCATTTCAAATGCTCTAATTATTTTTCCTTCTGCATTTTTAATAAAAGGTCA